GGGAGGGACTCCGCATTGGGCTGGCCCCCTCACTCCCCAACTCCCACCAAGCAAAATGCAAGGCTAGCACTATATAGCTAAAACAAATTTAGCCCATTGTAATGATATAGCTATGCTGCAACGTTATAGACTTGAGTGTGAGGACAACTTACTTACACTGTACGCTGTTGGTGCATTGGAGCAGTAAGGGAGAAGAAGAGAGAGGGAGAGATAGAAACATGGATAGAGAGGGGGAAGGAGAGAGAGATGGAGAAGATGGTGCTGTTACTATGAGCTTGTTGTTGCTCTGTATTCTATTGACTAGAGTGCGAGGGCCCGGCAGATTGGGTAAGAGTCAGGGTCTTTCATTTTGTCATGAGGTTTCTTTTTGCACTGGACGGCTGTTTTCATTCCCTTATATTTATTATTTATTGTGCTCTGGAAGTTGTTGAATCTGAGAGTTTGTGTGTGTGTGTGTAACAACATTCTGAATTCTTTCATGCTTGTTTCTGATCTCTCAGCCCCACAGTCAGACACAGTGGGGGGGGGGGGGGGTCGAGGGAACAAAGGAGATGGAGAGATAGTGGGAATAAAGTGTGAAAGGAGGCTAACACAGTCTTTAATGAGTTTCCTGGCTTTTCTTCCACTGTTTCTGTGTCAGGGTCCCTGGGCCTGGGTGTAGAGTGGGCTATGGCCCTGGTGCACTGTTAGCTACCTCCACAAGGTCTAATACAATAGGCTATTGTAGTAGGGTGGAAAATAGTGACTGCCCTTGGGTAGGAAAGTGTGTGTAGTTATAAGCCATTAAAATAAATATGGAAATGAATGAACCCACACTTAGCACACTCAGCACAGCTCTCCTCTCCTGCCTGTCGTACTGAGTACTCAATCCATCCACACACACCTGTGAGGAAAAGAGGTCACAGCTAGGGGTAGAGGTAACTCAGAGTTTACTGCTACTACTCAATTAGCACTAGATCAGGAGCTGAGGAGAGAGAGGAGTGATTTAGTGCCTATGGTGATGAAAAGCAGACACACTGCTCTGGACACACACACACACACACACACACACACTAACCTGGTCATTTTCTGATTGAGGGCATGGATGATTGAAGGCTCCTCCAGCCTTTATTTTCTGAGCGATCAGCTCCAATCTGTGGCTGAGAGAGAGGAGATAACATTAGGACATTAGATAGAAAAGACAGATAGAAATCACACAAGCACTATTTACTGCTCAACTGCAGCAGCGTCTGTCAGGGAGACCTGGCAGCTTCTGTCAGACAACAAGGCTCCAGCATGTCCGGACACCAGAGAGAGAGAGAGAGAGAGAAGAGAGATAGAGGGACAGTGAAGAATTACTGATGGCGCGGATAAACCTTTATGCCATCTCTCTCTCTCTGTCTCTTTGTCTCCGGATCTCTCTCTCTCTGTTTCACCATCTCACTCTCTCTCTCTCTCACACTCTCTCTCTCTCTCCCTCTCGTTCTCTCTCTCGCTCTATAATTGATGTCGACCAGTTCAATGGTAAGAATAGAACCGTTGTGGAGGTGATAAATGGAGTGGCGAATGGGCTTCATCTCTCTCTCTTTAAAGAGTTGGTAACTTGGCCGGAGTTTGTGTGTGTGTGCTTGTGCGTGTGCGTGTGTGTGCTCTCCTGTGTGTGTGTGTGTATGTGCGTTCACGTGTGTGCTCCCCTGCATGTGTCATTTAAGACAGTAGGGGATGAAAGAGAGGTGTAATAACAGGGAAGCTTATATCTGTCTGCAGCTGAACGATCCCAGGAATGGACTAAACGGGGCCAAAAGCCTGGGGTCGTGGTCATAAGATCTACTGTGTGTGAGAGAACGTTTAGCCTGGCCTCCTCCTCCTCCTTCTCCCTCTCAACCCATGAACTCTGGTTCTCATTATCTCTCCTCTCCTCTGCTCTCCCTTCCCAGTCCCTGGCAGTAGAGTCAGCATTAGCTGCATGTGGTTAGGCCAGCCAGGCCGGTCCTTAAATCCTGTCTGCCTGGGAGGAATCCCAGAAACTTCCTGGGCTTTAAAATACACCTGTGTAAACATTCCAGACTATCAAATGATAGGGATGACACAGTGTGCAGAGTGGGATACAATAATCCCTGCAAAGATGACGGTAATAACACACTGTTGCCTTGTTTTATGTCCACCCCTCCCACTCCCTTATTCCTCTCTCCTCTCTCTCTCTCTCTCTCTCTCTCCCTCTCTCTCCTCTCCTCTCTCCTCCTCTCTACTCCTCCTCTCTCGTCTCTCTCGTCCACTCTCTCTACTCTCTCTCTCTCTCACCCGCCCTACCTCTCTCTCTCTCACCCTCCCTACCCCTCTCCCTCTTCTCCCTTCTCTCTCTCTCACCCTCTCTCCTTCTTCTCACTTCTCTCTCTCCCTCCCTTCTCTCTCTTTCTCTGCAGTGAGAGATGATGATGACTTCATGGGATTGGGTGATCTCCCAGAGACCTTCCCCTCGGACCCCCCGGAACCCCTTCCAGTGTTCCTGATGGAGCCGGAGGAGGCGTACATCGTCAAGAACAAACCTGTCAATCTGTACTGCAAGGCCACGCCCGCCACACAGATCTACTTCAAGTGTAACAGCGAGTGGGTCCACCAGAAAGAACACACAGTGGAGGAGAGGGTGGATGAGAACTCTGGTCAGTGAAACTACCAGTCTGAATGTGTTTCTTGTGTGTGTATCTGATGGTGCGTTAGAGTGTGTGTTTGTGTCCTGTGGACAACATGTTCCCAACCCAGGGGTGGGAGTGGAAGGTTAAGCCGGTAATAATCAACCTGGACCAAACCTTTATCCATAAAGAAAATATCAACATGGTTGAGGTCGAACAGACAACACACATACACAAACAAATTCACACCCTCCGGGTACTCAGTTCTGTCAGAAAATCAAGGAAATTAATTATTAATTATAATCCCTTTACCACACTCCTAGAAAACACACATACACCCTCACCGACACAGACACAACCACATATAATGAGGACAGGATTTTTGTAGCATAGAGAGACAGTCTTGTTAAACTCAGAGATACTATTGTATAACAGAGGCCCGTAAGCCATAGTAGCCCTGTGACATGCACACACACTGCAGCACAGGCTGAGGCTCTGTCGGAGAGAGTCGAAACTGGATCATTGAGACTGATACATAACAGACACGGATGTATACTGTTCTCCTTCAGACACTAGTCTCTCTCTCTCTCTCTTCTCTTCTCTCTCTCTTCTCTCTCTCTCTCTCTCTCTCACACACTCTCTCTCTCTTCTCTCTCTCTCTCTCTATGTCTCTCTCTCTCTGTCTCTCTCTCTGTCTCTCTCTATCTGTTTCTCTCTCTCTTCTCTCTCTTCTCTCTCTCTCTCTCTCTCGCTCTCTCTGTCTCTGTCTCTCTGTCTCTGTCTCTGTCTCTCTCTTTCTCTCTCTTCTCTCTTCTGTTTCTGTCTCTCTCTCTTCACTCTTATCTCTTCTGTCTCTGTCTCTCTCTCATCTCTTATCTCTTATCTCTTATCTCTTCTGTCTCTGTCTCTCTCTCTGTCTCTCACTTTCTCTCTCTCTCTGTCCTTATCTCCACTCATTCCATTTTCTTCTCTCTCTCTCTCTGACTGTTTCTCTGTACGTCAGTCAGTATCATTATCAGAGTCACAGAGACAGTGCGAATCAGGTTTGATGCTAAACGCTTATGTCTGACGCAAGTCCTCCACACCCTCACCCCCACCCCGTCTCTCACAAACCATGTGGTAGCAGCAGCCGGATACATGGTTCATACACGCACCCTGGACAGGACATGTCCAAGACATCAGACCAAGTGTGTGTGTGAGCACAGCAACAGAATCTCCCACAAGGACTGGACCTTCTGCTTACCATTGCAGAGGTACCATTCTCTCTCCCTCTCTCTCTCTCTTTCTGTCCTTTCTGCTTGCACTAGTGTGTCCTGACTGTCACACGGGCATGACCTCTCACGTGTGTGTGTGCGCGTGCTTGTGTGTGCATGTGTGAATGTGTGTGCTCAGCCCTCCCTCATGTAGAGGTTGAATGGTGAATCCCAGAGTGGAGAGGCTGTTTCTAACTGAAATCTGCTCCTCTGGGCTCCACAGCATTACACACAGCAGCCATCGGCTGATTGGCTGTATTCAGCTGCCAATGGGGGAAATTGACTTCTTTCTGTAGCCACAGGTAGCAATCACACAGCATTTACCCTCTTTAATCCCAGGGCTCAGAGACACACACATCCCTGCACTCACTGGAAAACACACATAAGCACATACCTGCACCTAGACACACAGACACTCTCAATTCCCCCTCTCTCATGCGCAAACACATGCACACTGTCTTTAAAATAAACAGAAATCAGGGTTGAACATACATATTCCAAAAACAGCAGCATACACACATAGAGCTACTGTATATACCAGTGTAGATATGAAAAATAAACTGTTTTCATTTTGACATGCGGCTGTACTTGACATGATTTTGAGCTGTTGTGAAGAAATGTTTTGCATTGACAAAGAAGAGGTTAGCAGTTAGTGGTGCCCCCTTGCCATCATGTCAGAAAGCTTGTGTGTTAAAAGCATCTACAAGGAAACCAACCCACACAGCATACACATTCCACGCTCCACAACCCAACCCCAGAGGCTACACACACACTCACACACTCATACAACTACACACATACACCGCACTCCCTGCACCAAAGCCCACAGGCTGTGCACACACATTCCCTCTCTCTCTCAGCCCACTCCAGTCCTCTCTGATTTCCGCAGATTGACAGAATAGGAGCCCAGATAGAGGAGAGGCTGGCCATGCAGCCCTGGTCAATACTGGAGCTACTTGAGCTGCTGAAGGAAATATGATCTCTTTCTCTCTTTCTACAACATGACAGTAGATTAGAGGAGAGAGCGAGCGAGGGGGATGGACAGAGAGAGACTGCTAGTGAAAAAGATGGAGCGAGGGATCGAGCTGGAGAGAGAGAGGTGGAGAGAGTGATGATAAAGGGAGAGCAATGGAGAGAGATGGAGAGAGTCATGGAAAGAGGGAGAGAGAGCGACGGTGCGACAAGTGAAGGAGAGAGAGAAGGGTATGTTGATATTGTCAGTCAGACAGCAGGCTCCAGCCAAAGCCCTTCTATCTCTATCTCAGTGTAGAAATCAAGGCAACAGGGGTGCTGCTGGGCAGGGGGGCTGCTGCCTCTCCTTCCTATCCAGACTGAGGAACATCATCATTAGTGCTGTGCTCTACCATGGCCCTGCTGTAGAAGCCATGCAGTGCTGCCTCACTAGAGGAACGCCCACGCTAGAACTGCACCATTCATCTAGCCTCTCAAACGCTGGCAGGGAGTAAAACATACTGTTGTTTTTTTGTCCTTACCAAGTATGATTTACATCATGCTCGGATTTGAGTTTGATTGATAGATTTAGTTCAGGGGGTTAGGATAGTATAACATTTTAAATGAGGTTTTTATGGGACCCAAAGATGAGGATAAACTCTATTTGAATTTCATCTAATAAAAACTGTAGCTACCTACAGATGTGCTATCTTAATCATGCAGCAACAGGAAATGTGAATTCATTTACATTTACATTTTAGTCATTTAGCAGACGCTCTTATCCAGAGCGACTTACAGGAGATATGTGCATTATAATTAATATATATTTTTGTAGGGGTAAATACATTTTTCGTCAAGTCTGAAATGTTAAACTGGAAATTACAACCTTTAGAAGCCTTTTTAAACCTTGAGGTTGAGAGCTGGACCCGTGCTGGTCTCCAGCTCTAGTCTCCAATGAGCTGTAGCCATTGATCTGAACAAATGAGCCCAGAGTTAATTATATGTATGAGCAGAGTAGCAGTGTAAGACACACTGGAGACACACAGCTCACCATTCATCCTCTAAGAGTTATGTCTGGTAGCATCAAACAGGAGTGCTGCTCTTAATTTGGGGGCCTCCCCCCCACCCCCCCTCCCAGTGACTGCTGCTCCAGCAGCCTGCATGCCAGTGAGGGATCAATAAAAGGAGATAGCACTAATGATGGCATTAATAATGAATCATCTGCAATGGGTCCATCCAGAGTCCCATGCCAGCTATCGTTTAATGGGACAGATTGGAGAATCATTTTGTATCATAGTAATGGACAGTGAGAGGGTGTGAGAGGGTGTGTGGGAGACAGGGTAGCGAAATATCAGATCACTGATCACTATAGAGGTATCAGTTGGAGAGGTTCGTTTGCGTGTGTTATGATCCCAGAAGTATATTTCAGCCCCTCCATGTGTGTAGTCAGGACTGTAATGATACCATATCACATTTTACAATACATAGTAAATGTGAGTAATAGTTCTAGCTTAGTAAACGTATGATGTCAGGGTATGAGGTCACTATCTGATCTCCTAGCTCAACTCTTAATCTCGCCCCCGATCTCGGTCCCGTCTGATGTCACTAGAAAGATGAGACATAAAGCTTGCTTTGGTAATGGTCCCAATGATTCACAAAGGAGGCAGATAAGCAACTTCCCATTTGAATATCACCTGTTGTTTGAAGTCCCAGCATTTCACAGAAGAAAATCAATAGCTAGCATCGTGTATATATAATGATGAGTGTAAATTATCCTCTTTCTCATAATATCAAATCAAAGTTTATTGGTTGCGTACACAGTTTAGCAGACGTTATAGTGGGTGCAACGAAATGCTTATGATACTAGCCCCTAGCAATGCAGTAAAATGTCAAAAGTACACAAATAATCAAAAATTAAGAAATCTTGAAATGTCGGAACGAATCCAATTAACAACCCAAATAGCACTGTAACAGTAATCCAAATGCAATCTATATGTACGTATGATTTAATAAGTGACTGTTATCGATATATAACATACACTACCAGTCAACAGTTTGGACACACCTACTCATTCAAGGGTTTTTCTTTATTTTTACTATTTTCTACACAGAATAATAGTGAAGACATCAAAACTATGAAATAACACATATGGAATCATGTAGTAACCAAAAAAGTGTTAAACAAATCAAAATATATTTTAGATTTTAGAGTCTTCAAAGTAGCCACCCTTTGCCTTGATGACAGCTTTGCACACTCTTGGCATTCTCTCAACCAGCTTCATGAGGAATGCTTTTCCAACAGTCTTGAAGGAGTTCCCACATATGCTGAGCACATGTTGGCTGCTTTTCCTTCACTCTGCGGTTCAACTCATCCCAAACCATCTCAATTGGGTTGAGATCGGGTGATTGTGGAGGCGAGGTCATCTGATGCAGCACTCCATCACTCTCCTTCTTGGTCAAATAGCCCTTACACAGCCTGGAGGTGTGTTTTGGGTCATTGTCCTGTTGAAAAACAAATGATAGTCCCACTAAGCGCAAACCAGATGGGATGGCGTATCGCTGCAGAATGCCGTGGTAGCCATGCTGGTTAAGTGTGCCTTGAATTCTAAATAAATCACTGACAGTGTCACCAGCAAAGCACCCCCACACCATCACACCTCCTCCTCCATTCTTCACGGTGGGAACCACACATGCGGAGATCATCCGTTCACCTACTCTGCATCTCACAAAGACACGGCGGTTGGAACCAAAAATCTCACATTTGGACTCATCAGACCAAAGGACAGATTTCCACCGGTCTAATGTCCATTGCTCGTGTTTCTTGGCCCAAGCAAGTCTCTTCTTCTTATTGGTGTCCTTTAGTAGTGGTTTCTTTGCAACAATTCGACCATGAAGGCCTGATTCACGCAGTCTCCTCTGAACAGTTGATCTTGAGATGTGTCTGTTACTTGAACTCTGTGAAGCATTTATTTGGGCTGCAATCTGAGGTGCAGTTAACTCTAATTAACTTATCCTCTGCAGCAGAGGTAACTCTGGGTCTTCCTTTCATGTGGCGGTCCTCATGAGAGCCAGTTTCATCATAGCGCTTGATGTTTTTTACCAAATAGGGCTATCTTCTGTATACCACCCCTACCTTGTCACAACACAACTGATTGGCTCAAACGCATTAAGGAAAGAAATTCCACAAATTAACTTTTAACATGGCACACCTGTTAATTGAAATGCATTCCAGGTGACTACCTCATGAAGCTGGTTGAGAGAATACCAAGAGTGTGCAAAACTGTCATCAAGGCAAATGGTGGCTACCTTGAAGAATCTCAAATATAAAATATATTTTCATTTGTTTAAATCACTTTTTTGGATACTACATGATTTCATAGTTTTGATGTCTTCACTATTATTCTGCAATGTAGAAAATAGTAAAAATAAAGAAAAACCCTTGAATGAGTAGGTGTGTCCAAACTTTTGACTGGTACTGTATGTCAAGAATCCAGTATACAAATAAATATGTGGTGTGTGCATAAACAGTGTAACTAAAATGCAATGTACAGTAGTAAAAATAAGAATGTAAATGTATATGTATTTGAATGGTGTGTATAGACAGTATATGGTCAGTATGTGAATAGAAAAGGTGTGTACAAGTAGGGCAACAGGCTCTATGGTTCAGGGTTGAGTACCGGGTGGTAGCCGGCTATCATATTTACATTTACATTTACGTCATTTAGCAGACGCTCTTATCCAGAGCGACTTACATTATTCTTTTTTTTTTTCTTTTTTTTCATACTGCCCCCCCTGGGAAACGAACCCACAACCCTGGCGTTGCAAACGCCATGCTCTACCAACTGAGCTACCTCCCTGCCGGCCATTCCCTCCCCTACCCTGGACGACGCTGGGCCAATTGTGCGCCGCCCCATTGGTCTCCCGGTTGCGGCCGGCTACAGCAGAGCCTGGATACAAACCAGGATCTCTAGTGGCACAGCTAGCACTGCGATGCAGTGCCTTAGACCACTGCGCCACTCGGGAGACACAACAATATTCACTGGACATGGTGATTGCTGTATAGAGGAGTCCAGTCAGTCAGTTTATTCTGATTCAGTGCTGGTATTCCTGATTGTCTTGACTGGACATGGTGATTGATGTAGAGATGGGTCTTGTCTGTTCTGAGTCTTACCCACTCAGTCTAAATATGAACATATGAATGACAAGCTTGATCAGCCTGCCTGCGGCCTGTGCTGTGTAGAGACTAAAGCCTTCCTCAGAGGCAGGCAGCAGTGGGTTCTTACACACTGAGTGAGCTGAATAAATGTCTCATTCTGGCACACTTTGTGCCCATAGAGAATACTGGCCCTTTTAATTGTTACCCCTATTGATTTTCACTATGCTACTCTGTGTGATATTCTCCCAACTTCATGACCCTTGACCCATCTCTCTACATCTATGTAGAGTAGCTCTCTCTCTCATGCACACACACAGAAACTCACACACACAGGCACACACTGGCACATACACACACATTCAAATACACACGCAAAGGCTCATACACACTCATATACACACATGCAGGCACACACCTGTGCATGCACACACACACCTGAAGAGAGGCTCAAGGACTCACAAACACGCATACACACACACTGTCGTTGGCAGAATGGCAGTAGCTTGCTTCTCTCTCTGCTTGCCTGTCGGCCCACAGTGTAAGTGTTGTATGTGCTAAGCTGGTGTGTAGGACGTCAGTGTGCTGAGTGTCTCTATAAAGAGACTGTGTAAAGCTCCTGAACCTGAAGAAATCAGCCATGTGTTTTCCCCCTCTCTCTCATCTCTACTCCTCCTCATTTAGAGGCTACCTGTATGCTCTGGAGAAACAGAGTTGAGAAACAGAGAGGTGCACAGCTCAGGATGATTCTTACATTAATGGATGGGGAGTGTATAGGGAAATAGGGCTTCTTAATTTCCTGCACTAATGTGTTATCATTTACACACATGTGTCACGTTTCTTTTGTCGTAGTATGCCTCTATTCCAAAAAAATACTTGCCAATTTCCGGGGGTCTGTACTCCCAAAGTTGTTGACTGTTTTTGTGCTTGCCAGTTAGCTAGCAGATCAAATCAAATCAAAATCAAATCAAACCACAATTGTATGTGTCGAATACAACAGGTGTAGACCTTACCGTGAAATTCTTACTTACAAGCCCTTAACCAACAATGCAGTTTTAAGAAAAATAAGAGTTAATAAAAATATTTACTAAATAAACTAAAGTAAATAATAAAAGAGCAACAATAAAATAACAATGACGAGGCTATATACAGGGGGTACCGGTACCGATTCAATGTGCGGGGTACAGGTTAGTCGAGGTAATTGAGGTAATATGTGGGGGGGGGGGGGGGGGGGTCAATGCATATAGTCCAGGTAGCCATTTGATTAGCTGTTCATCAGTCTTATGGAATGGGGGTAGAAGCTGTTAAGAAGCCTTTTGGACCTAGACTTGGCGCTTCGGTACCGCTTGCCATGCAGAAGCAGAGAGAACAGTCGTTGACTAGGGTGGCTGGAGTCTTTGGCAATTTTTAGGGCCTTCCTCTGACAACGCCTGGTATAGAGGTCCTGGATGGCAGGAAGCTTGGCCCGAGTGATGTACTGGGCCGTACGCAGTACTCTCTGTAGCGCCTTGCGGTCGGTGTGTTGCCATACCAGGCGGTGATGCACCCAGTCAGGATGCTCTCGATGGTGCAGCTGTTTAACTTTTTGAGGATCTGAGGACCCATGCCAAATCTTTTTTGTCTCCTGAGGGGGAATAGGCGTTGTCGAGCCCTCTTCACGACTGTCTTGGTGTGTTTGGACCATGATAATTTGTTGGTGATGTGGACACCAAGGAACTTGAAGCTCTCAACCTGCTCCACTACAGCCCCATCGATGAGAATTAGGGCGTGCTCGGCCCTCCTTTTCCTGTAGTCCACGATCATCTCCTTTGTCTTGATCACGTTGAGGGAGAGGTTCTTGTCCTGGCACCACACTGCCAGGTCTCTACCACCGTTGTGTCGTCGGCAAACTTAATGATGGTGTTAGAGTCGTGCTTGGCCACGCAGTCATGGGTGAACAGGGAGTACAGGAGGGGACTAAGCACACACCCCTGAGGGGACCCCGTGTTGAGGATCAGCGTGGCGGATGTGTTGTTGCCTACCCTTACCACCTGGGGGCGGTCCGTCAGGAAGTCCAGGATCCAGTTGCAGAGGGAGGTGTTTAGTTCCAGGGTCCTTAGCTTAGTGATGAGCTTTGTGGGCACTATGGGGTTGAACGCTGAGCTGTAGTCAATTAATAGCATTCTCATGTAGATGTTCCTTTTGTCCAGGTGGGAAAGGGCAGTGTGGAGTGCAATAGAGATTGCGTCATCTGTGGATCTGTTGGGGCGGTATGTAAATTGGAGTGGGTCTACGGTTTCTGGGATGATGGTGTTGATGTGAGCCATGACCAGCCTTTCAAAGCACTTCATGGCTACTGACGTGAGTGCTACGGGTCGGTAGTAATTTAGGCAGGTTACCTTGGTGTTCTTGGGCTGTTAGCAGCCAATGGCTAGCAGTTTCTTACTGGCGATAAAAACTGATGATTGCCATAATGTTTCAAGTCATTACTGAACTATTTAATGAAACTAATCAAACATTAAACCTTGTAAACAATTCATGGTAATTCATGGTAACCTCGTAAACAATTAATTTAAACTCAGCATTTATTTGAAACAGGTGTTTATTTAAAATGTGTTTAAAGGGACAGGTGGCTTTTTGAAGCTCTGCGTTTCATTTAAGTTTTACGGTAGTTATCATATGGGATAAAACCCACCAACCATCTACCTATCACATGACCCAACCTTACACTCCTCTCTAACACTCCTCTCTAACCTAATTTAGTGGAGAGTGGTGGTGTTGGCTGTTAACCTTCAGCTCAACTTGTTTGTTAGGAGAAGAGAGTTTGAGAGGGTGTAGAGGGCACATGAGGTGAGGCAAGAGGGGAGGGGAGCAGGAGGGGGAGGAGAGGAGGCAGAGGAACACTCATCCAGTTTGCATGGTGGATTATAAAGGGACTCTCTGGCTCAGTCTGCCATCTCTGCCCCCACCTTATCACACCACAGCTCTTCTCTCTCTCTCTCTCTCTCTCTCTCTCTCTCTCTCTCTCTCTCTCTCTCTCTCTCTCTCTCTCTCTCTCTCTCTCTCTCTCTCTCTCTCTCTCTCTCTCTCTCTCTCTCTCTCTCTCTCTCTCTCTCTCTCTCTCTCTCTCTCTCTCTCTCTGTCTCTGTCTCTCTCCCCAGTACAGTGGATCAATAGTTCTGTTAGCTAAAGTTTCTACAGCATTGTTTGTTATTTATGGTACATTGCTGTTGCCATAGGACTCCTCTCTATCTGTCTATACTGTCATTGTATTAGATTGCTGTGTGTATTGAATGTTTGTGCTGATATGTTTCTCCTGTCAGAGAACTGTCAGATCCTCCACCTCCATACTGTCTAATCCTCTCAGTAATACATTAGAAGATAAAAGGATGAGGGGCTGAGAAATCAAAGAATCATCCATGAATACTCAGTGTCAAGCAGCCTGGCACTTCCAGCTATACACACACACACACACACACACACACACACACACAAACATACAGTACAGCATTATCCCAGTAATCTGAGCTGGAGGGGCAGCTGTGCTGTGGGTAGAGGGGTTTGTTTCAGGGCTGATTTGTTTGTTTGGGCCCTGGCACACAGATGAGCAGTAATCAGTGGAATTAGCAAACAGGATTGTGTTAGCCATGACGCTGATCAGGCTGCTAGGCTTCCTCCCCCACAGGCCCATGCACAGCCCCGGACCTCAACAACTCAATCCCACTGCACCTCACCACAATATGGGCCAGGCTAACACAGCACACAGGGAGACCCATTGTCAAACAGCCTCCAGAAGCAGCCTTTTTGACAGTGGACTGATTTTGAGATGCGATGCAATGGATAATTTAACTGTATTAATATTAAATGGAAGAGCGGTGTTGTGGTGTGTGGTCTTGCCAGCTTTTGAATTGGTACAACTGTATCTGTTTGGATCTGGTATTAGTGTCTTCCTCTTCTTTCATGTCTTTTCCTTTCCCATGTGTGAAAGGTTAGCATTGACTTCCCCTTAATGAAGCTTTAGATTGTGCTGCTGGCACACTCCCCTCTCCCTAAGGCCCGTGCTCAGGGAGGACGACATTCATTTCACTTGATTAAGCTATAATTTCCCTGAAATGGCTTTGGCTCCGTGTTCTGAATGTCCCCTTTCTCTACCCAAGGCTAGTGTTGATTCTGCGTCTTTATAGATCCTGTGTACTGACTCTCTCTCACTCTCCCCCTCCCCCTCTCACCCCTCCGCAGGCTTGGTGGTGCGAGAGGCCAGTATTGAGATCACAAGGCAGCAGGTGGAGGAACTGTTTGGGCCAGAGGACTTCTGGTGTCAGTGTGTAGCCTGGAGCTCTGCAGGGACCACCAAGAGCCGCAAGGCCCACGTCCGCATCGCCTGTGAGTACCCTTCAACCCTTCACCCATATCCCCTTTTGTAACCCTTCAACCCTGTCCCCATACCGGGACCTATTCCTGTCCCCATCCCTGTCCCTGTCCCCATCCCTTGTCTTAACAGTCAAAGAAGCCACCAGTCACTGAGAGTTCAGATACATTCTCATATACTTTATCTGATGATGTGTACAAGAGACAGTTTGACAGGCAGTCAAGAAAGGGCTCTCACAACGAATGGCCCTTTAAAACAACCCATAGACTCCAGTCACATTCTGTATAAATTGAGAGAAACAGAGGCCGGGAGGGTTGTATACACAAAGTAGAAAGGATCAAATACATGTTTATGCCAACGTTTCCGTTTATTTGTTGGTGGTCCTCAAATGCCCTTTTCTTATGTTAGTATTTCGACTGGCAAGTATACCAAATATAAACATGTTTTCCAGTAACAACACATATATTTTTTCACTCGTGCTTAAATCATTTTAATGTCACCCAGAGGACGTGCCAATCAAAACATGAAGGGAAGTGGAAACTCTAAGGGAGAGAAAACTGAGTAGCTTTATGTCTTTCGGTTGTTGAGTGATCACTACTTTTTACAGATCTTTTTCCACTTTATCTTCTCTGAGCCACAGGTCTTCAATGTTAAGAACCATATGCATTTCTGACTTCAGCCTATGTTGTGTCCAGTCTTTCTTTTTTTTCAATAGAGTGACAGAGGTCTCTCGGATACCACCCTGGTCTCATAGACTAGATGGATCATAGTAAATGTAAATCCAAGACTCTCAAATTAGTATGATATGTTACATTTGGGTATGGTTACATAAGTCAGAAGGTTAATTAAGGCAAAAACGAAAGGAGGAAGGTTGAGGTGGATGGGTAGGCATATAACGTGAATGTCTACCAACCCAAATGCTGCGTGTTCGAATCTCATCACGGACAACTTTAGCATTTTAGCTAATTAGCAACTTTGCAACTACTTAGCATGTTACTAACCTTTCCCCTAACCTTAACCCTTTAACCTAACTCCTAACCCTAACCCTAACCTTAACCCCAACCTTAACCCCTAACCTTAACCACTAGCCTAGCCAATGTTAGCCACCTAGCTAACGGTAGTGTTAGCTACCTAGCTAACATTAGCAACAACAAATTGAAATTCGCAACTGATGATACGTATTGCAAATTCGTAACATAATGTACGAATTGCAATTCGTAACATATCATGCGAATTGTAATTCATAACAAAATGGGTGATGGACATACACAAATTAATGCATACTATACGAAACGTAACATATCATACTAAATGGAGGGAGACAGATTTACATTTACTATGTTAGGATTAACCCTGAGTCCAGGTTGGGGACACTTATTGCTGCAATGTCCTCCCTCTGTATGTAGTAAATACGTAAATCCATTGTGATGGGTGTCAGAGGGCCCTCAACTAAGGGTCACTTCTCTATTGGCCGTTCAGGGACCCTGTCAGGATGACACACTACTAGGTCTCTGAGAAAGAGCTGAGCTTGTACCTCTGTTAGTACTCATCAGTTAACACTGGCTATACAGTCCTACTACAGTCACAAGCCTGGGCCCATTGCACATATCTTCACCAAGGCCAGTTCAGTTGCTCTCATCTTACCAGCTCTGTCTTCCACCTTACTTTAGCCGTAGGCTACCTGTGTTGGAATGCCATGCCAGGCCAGCCACTGACTAATGCAGTCTCCCCACAGAGTTCCCCCGCTGCTCCACCTCTACCTCTACCTCTACCTCCACCTCCACATCATCAGCTGTTCCACCTCCACCTCTACTTCCACCTTCAGCTCCACCCAGGGGCGGACTTAGTGATTTGGAGGCCCCAGGCAGAGGCCAGTCTGAGTTTCTACCAAGCTAGCCAATTTGACAACCAGGCTTCCCTAATACGGATAAGCCTGGGGAAGTTCATGGCAGAGAAATAGCTAAATAGGGGTGGTGACCCGATGTAAATCAGTGACGCCTCGCTACACGTCAAACCAATCAAATGCCTTTCTTGGGCAGAGCACCAACAGTGCTCACTAGATTAGTGTCGCAGGTGCAACAGTGCACCTACATATATTTTTACCAAGGAATTACCTGCATACATACCTTTTACGTGCAAATTCCCCATTCACTTCTATAAATGTTTTGGCCCGGTACCGGGTTACCTTCAGACGAGACCCGTAGAGCAAAATGGAGAACACCATCATATTTCCATAGAGGGGTCATATTAATTTTGTTGGCCAAACCGTTTGGACGCTACAGGCGTTTTAGTGAGAAGAACCATTTTCAAGATGTCTCCTGGTCTGACAAACACCACTGTAGCTCTGCCATCAGCAGATGCGGTGGATTGAGCCCATGCAAACAGATATCTCTAGCTTAAACAGAGAGAATTTGATGGCTATTTTTTTATTTTGCCTCGAACGAAGCATGGGAGGGCTTCAAGCTGATAAATTATTGTTTTAAAAAATGTTTTATGCCCAGCTCATGAGGCCCCTTGATGATGTGAGGCCTGAGGCAATTGCCTCTTCTGCCTAATGGTAAGTCCGCCAGTGCCTCCACCTCCACATAATCAGCCATCATCAGCAGCCTGCCAGGGCTAACCTTTCCCTCAAATCAGAATGGATCCCCTTTCCTCTACTATCAGAATGGATCCCTCTTGCCCCCCTATTAGATTGTCCTGAATGGATTATTGTAGCTCCTCTCTCTCCTGGGCTTCCTGGCAGACCCAGGCCACCTCATAGACAGCCACGGTCCCTCTGGAGACTAATGGAAACTCTGGTAGGTCCCCCCCTTGTCCGCCTCCCACAAACAGATGGTTTAATCAGGGGCTAAGTAACACTCAGGGCTGATAAATTCAGGTGGTGGTTGGGTGGTGGTGGTGGTGGGGGGGGGGGGGGGCATACAGTGATCAATGTTAACACTATGAGACGAGTGGCATCTTAAAGGCTGTGCACTCTGGACCCGGGGGATTATTTTCCCCCCACTGTGATTTGTTGTGCGTTTGGGTGTGTGTTATTGTGAGTTATTGCAGCCCATGTTTCCCTTCTGCCACGATGACATGGACTCTCATTGGCCAGTGATTTATCTGACTCCACCTCCCTCTCCATGGTTACCTTTGACCTGACGTACAGGTCGGGGGATGCCTATAGTTCTATCTTAATGATCACTAGTGTTTCTTTGAAATGGGTAAAAAGCAACAAAAAATGTCCTTCAATTGACCTAGGGAAATAAACCCGTTATACTGAACCTAGAAGCTGAAATTGTATGTGTTTGTGGCGTTGTTATTTTTCACAAAACTAGTAAAGCTCACATTCATCTAATTAAGTTTCACCTTGGTAATTCTCCCTGGGCGCCAGTCCTCAAGTTTACATCTGCATCAGGGTTTATTGGTTTATTAAGTGAGGGAGAGAATGCGTTGAAATGAAACCCATAACTGTGAGACTTCTGTAATTTAGCATGACAAGTAGCCAAACACCATGCACTTAGCGTAATGGCAGTCAAATGCGGTGGTAGCTGGGGCCTGTAGGGAGGCCTGGGGAGGCATAGATATTTCTGTGGTGTAACAGGGAATGGTGCGACTCCCACAGGAATGTCTACTCAGCCTTATACCCTGCTGCGCACCCAGCTCCACATCGCCTGAGCCTGGGAGAGGGGGAGAACAGAGAGTAAGGAGACATGGTTCAAAAATATAGCTCAGGAGCTATTCATTTCACTCTCTGTTCCTCCATTTCTCTCTCACACACTTTTTCTCTCTCTCTGATAAAGAAAGCATACTGCCGTAATTCCCCAAAGCTACATCTGAATACGTTCCACTCAAGATTATATGCGCTATCCAATCTATTAATTTCATACTTGATCTTTACGGAAATTGCTTTCAATGCAAACTTTTATGGATATCCCCCTAAAGACAGACATAAGGTTGAAATGGAACTTCAATTCTCCTAGTATTTCTATTTCAGGGCTATTTGGTCTCTGGTGCTGATATGGCTGTTATGTTGTACAGCAGGGTTTTGGCTAAAGTCTGGTGGTGATGTATTTTGTTATGAGAACATCTCAGAGTTAAGCTCTTCTCTTCCAGCAGGGGATATGGAGCAGTGCGATGATCAATGAAATGTTTCTATTCCAGTTGGACTTCTCTCTCTGTTGATATTCCTCTAACAGACAGGAGATCATGAAACCAACTGAAGTCCAGCTTTGGGAAGAGGCATTCGGACTCAATATCAAATGGGTGGACAGACTGTCTGTATTGTAGGGACTGGAGAGATAATGAACATTTATAACCTGAAATCCCAGAGCAGGCTTGCTACTGAGTGACTCACAGAGTTATATTTATGTAATGGAATTGAGACTTCTTCTGTAATAGTTCCAAATGTCTCCCGGACAGTCTTACAACATGGAGAATGACTGGAGAGTTGTTAAATGCTCATCCTCCTATGTATTCAAACTCTGCCAATGGCTGTACTATTGTATTGGCATTTCAAAGGCTTTCTGAGTGAGCTGGAGAGTCTTCTCTTGACATTCCTTTCTCCTTCAGTGTGCAGTCTGAAGGTATGCTGCACAACACCACAACTCTTTAATAGCATTGGTTTAAATCCTCTCTCTCTCGCTCTCTCTTTGCCTGCATCTTTCTTTCTCTCTCTCTCTCGCTTCCTCCCTCTCTATCCCCCCTTCCCCCCCCCCCCTCTCTCTCTCTCTGTCTCTCTCACTATCTCTCTCTCTCTCTCTGCCCTCTCTCTCTCTATCTCTCTCTGCCCTCTCTCTCTCTCTCTCTCTCTCTGCCCTCTCTCTCTCTATCTCTCTCTGCCCTCTCTCTCTCTATCTCTCTCTGCCCTCTCTCCATCCTTCCTTCTCTCTCTATGTCAGCAGCAGATTCAGACATGCCAGTGGGGAGCAGTCACATAGTGTGGATGTGGGCATCAAATCCACTCTTTTCCACTTTGTGGTTTCTAGTTTACTCAAATTACAATGTTGATGAGGAGGCCATTTCAGAACCAGCTGGGAGGAACATTTTGTGGTACATCCATAAAATACCTTTCACTATCCATCTGTCGATGCTTAAATTTTTTTTAAATCTGCGTGTCAGCAGATCTCCTTTCTTTCAGAATCCAAAAACAAAATGCTAAAGCCATTTAAAACCATAAATCGACAATTTACATTTGCACAAGATGTCTGTAACAGCCCTATGCTATGTCATTCCAGAATCTGTCTACAAAAGTTGGTGGAACCCTTAACGACCCCAACGGGTGGTTTCCATGGATGCTGAGAGTAGAAATTGATATTCGTGAGTTCTGACCCAAAGAAATTAGGAAGCTCTCTCTCACGACATCACGACCACATCGGCTATCCTTGTCTCTCTGTCTATGACTTTCTGAAGGGGAATATTCGGTTGTAAATCTGTCAATTTACAGTCCCTGTTATTTCCAGGACCCGCTATGTCTGTCCATCACTAGCTCACTGATGGCATGCTCATCTGGCCCTACAGCAGAAATACCTGAATATCTGAAGTGAACCATTTCATTTACACTATTCAGAAACTGACAATAAGAGAGTTTGATCTAGAACTCCATTCACCATACACAAATATACAGTACTATACCGTATGTGATTGTGTATGCTATTCTTCTCTCTTGGTTGTCCTCTGAGGGTGGCTTAGGGGTTCAAACTCCACAGGCAAGTTCATGGAAACCCTTGACTCAGTGTACTTATAGAGCAGATATGATTTGCAGCTTGGCTTACCTTTCAGCTCTGGGCTTCCATTGCTTTGTAAGCAGGGCTGGTCCATGCTTGGTTTAACAGTGAAAGTCAGAGTTGGCTTCATGTCAGCTCCTCCAGCCCATTCTCAGGGATTACACACTGTGGCAGGGAGTTACTCGTGTGTGTGTGTGTGCGTGTGTGTGTGTGTGTGTGCGTGTGCGTGCTCTTTGACACTATGGACTAAAACTTGGTGTCAAAAAATGTTTCTCTCCGAGCTGCCTGAACATTTACATTCACACACAGTACTCAACAAAATGTTTACAGATTGAAAGAAAAATAAACCCTACAACATTAACTCAAGCATGTTTTTTTTTGCTAAACAGGAACAATGTTATTCTAGACTATTCATTAAATGTGGTTACTGGGTTTGATTAAATGGGCTCCTGTGTCAGGGAGTTAGTGTGATAAGCAGAACAGGGACATTGCAGGCTGTTGAAAGTGCTGTCACTGGAGTTTGGGTGTACGAGTGTGTACTTACTACTCCACTGAGTCTGTTCTCTAGCAATTGTAGTGCTGCAGATCCCTCCCCCCTTCCTCCTCTTACACAATCTCCCTCTTGCCCAGTCTCTCTCTCTCTCTCTCTCTCTCTCTCTCTCTTTCTCTCTCTCCCTCTCCCTCTCTCTCTCTCTCTCTCTCTCTCTCCCTTCTCCTCATTTCCCTCTCTCTCCTCTCGTCTCTATATTATTTCTGCTGCTCCTCTGTTAGCCCGTGTCCCAGCAGGTGATGATATATATCTTATGAGCTTTGGGTTCCAGTGTAGCATGACGCTCACCTTAATCCTCCCCCCTCCACAACTCCCCCCTCCGCCCCGACCGTCCCGTCCTGCCCTACTCCATCAGGCTCACACACTGGAGAAATATTGGCTTTTTATTAGAGGAGGGAGAGTGATCCCTCTCTCAGCAGCTCCCCGCCGTCCACCTCCGATTCTTCAGGCTCTCTGTGGAATGAGAGGACAGAGAGAAAGAGAAGTCTAGCTTTGTTTCTCACGGAGACTGCTCTATTGGCCCTATGCAGTACTGTATTTGCTAGCTGTGAGAACGACAGTCTACAACCTTCTAAGCCTTTTTTTAATCAAAAGACATCAGTGATATAATTCAGCATCCCCCCATCCTCATTATTACATACATCATGTGTAGAACGTGAGGGATATGTTACATAATGTTTATTTATGGTTTGTTGAATTTTTTTTCTCCAGATCTCAGGAAGACATTTGACCAGGAGCCTCTGGGAAAGGAAGTGTCTCTAGAACAGGAAGTGCTTCTTCAGTGCCGCCCACCAGAAGGGATCCCTGCTGCTGAGGTAAGGGTCAAAGGTTATGGCTCAAATCTACAGTGATTTACTGGTATTTTGTCTTCGAATGAATGAAGTAAAGTAAATAACCTTAGCTGGTTTACAGGCTGGAGCTACTGTAAGCAGCAGAGCCTAAAGCTGTGGCCCCATAATGTCAGCTACACTGGGACCTCACGTCTTAACCAGGTCTCTACTCCTCCCTAACAGATGGCAACTCCAGCTCCCCTCCTTACTCCTGATCTTAACAAATAGAGCTGGCTCTGCCGCATCAACATGACAAACCAATAAAATGTACAACTTTTACAACAACACAATGCTTTCCGGCCTCATTGTGTCCCTTTTTTACCCACCTATTCGGTCAGAGGAAATCCTTCAAGTGCACTTCCTGCAGGGAAGATTAGCCAAATGAATTGGCCTGATCTGAGGTCTAGCAGAGCTACTTCCTCACCTTGAATTAGCGATGCTTCCTAATGCGTTATGGCTAATACCATGAACCACATTCCTGGAGGCTTATTTGAATATAACATGTATTAATAGTAATTGTTAGAATCTTAAGAAGGTGTATATTTTAAGTGGCCTGGTAGATTTGAGATTAAGTTGTATCGTATCTGCCTTAAAATGTTATTGTTTCTGTCTCAGATATGCGTACCTTTCAGGATGCCTTACTGAACTAAATTAGGCAATGCCAATAAATAGAAGTAGAATGTATTGGCCTCCCGAGTGGCGCGGCGGTCTAAGGCACTGCATCGTAGTGCTGAGGCGCCACTACAGCCTCGGGTTCGATCCCAGGCTGTGTCACAGCCGGCTGTGACTGGGAGAACCATCGGGCGGCGCACAATTGGCCCAGCATCGTCCGGGTTAGGAGAGGGTTTGGCCGGCCTGGATTTCCTTGTCTCATCGTGCTCTAGCGACTCCTTGTGGCGGCCAGGCGCCTGCAAGCTGACTCCGACACATTGGTGTGGCTGGCAGTGTGTCAAGAAGCAGTGCGGCTTGGCAGGGTCGTGTTTTGGACTCTCCCGAGTCCGTAGGGGAGTTCCACTGATAAGACAAGATTGTAACTACCAATTGGGGAGAAAAAAGGGGTTAAAGTAAAAAAATAAAGAATTAATTATTTAGCAAATTCTCTATGTCAAAACACCATTTGTTCTGTAGCTTCAGTAGTCTCAGTCATTCTTGTATGACATTACAGAGTTGTTCCACACAGTCTCATGCACAGATAAGCACTGCTCTCTGCTTCCTCACCAGGCTTTTCAAGGCCATGTGTGGGTATTTCCTGAAGGTTGGTCAGTCATCACAATGTGGCTAAGGGAGGGGAAATGTGTAGTTATCTGCAATAAGAGCAGGGTTCCTAAACATGGCCACTGTGTATTATCCTCCCTCTGTCAAGTAGCACCTCTCCCTACCCCTCCATTCAACATTGTGGTGAGTTCAAAGGCCTTAGTTATAGATTACAGGGACAGAGATAGAGGGAGGATGAAAGGGAGAGAGGGACATGGAGAGAATGAGAGAGAGAGGGTGAAGGATAGAGAGAAAGAGAGAGAAGTAGAGGTAGAAACCGAGTGTGAGAGAGAGAGAGGGGAGAGAGAGAAATAGAAGGAGAGCGAGAGAAATAGAGAGACGGGGAGAGAGAGAATAAGTGTCCTTTGGAATGAGATTTTCTCAGGTCTGAACTCTAAAAAGGCCTGCGACTGACCTGGAAAAGCTGAGTTAAGTGAGTGGAACTGCATCGCCTTTATCCTCGGTGAGAAGTGCTGACAAAACTAAATGGAAAGAAAAGTTTGGGCCAACTCTCTCTTGGAAACTCTCCTTCTTACTTCCTCTAATATCTTTTTTCTATTGGTGATTCCAACTGTTTGGGTCAGAGTGATTCCAATCAAGCTTATTCTCTCTCATTGGCTCAGTGGGATAATTAAGACTCAACAGGAGCCCAATTTTGGTGACACACCTGTGCTCACCTGGACCTTACAGTTACTGTAGCAACACAGCTGTGAACTGACGGAGCAGAGAGAATCAATCTTATCTCTGTCATCATCAACGAAGGTGCATGAAGTCTGATGGCATGACAGATTGTAGTTTGTACGGAATGAAAATGGAGGGGAGGGGTACTGTATTGAAGTGGAAGCCTAGGCAGGTGCCCAGCGTCATTAATTAATCACACACGCTTACCTCACTTGAATAAAGACACCAGTCCATTACCCTTATTTTTCTTATTTTCTGAAGTAAAACACAGCTGTTGAATGAGAAAATACACCCGAACTGATCCTGAGAGCCTTTTTCCTCTCTCTCCGCCTGTCTGTTTGTCAGGCATTTTCTCACAGAAATGCTTTAGGAACCCGGCTAGGGAAAAACAGATGGGCCCAAGTTTGTGGTTGTATATGCATCTGCAGAAATATGTAGCAGAGTCACTGCAGAGGAAAGATGAAAGGTCTGTCGTATTCCAGCCACAGGGAGACAGAGAGGGAGGGAGAGGGAGAAGAGCTATTGAGGGTTGTTGGGTTTGGATCCAGTGGTTTGTCAGTTGTCTCTGTGGCTCTTTTACTTTACTCTACTTGAGGCAGAGAGGCGGTGGCCTACTGTGCCCATTCTGCCCATGTCGTACAGCGCTATGCTAAATCATTTAGATGGGTTCTGATGGACTCCACTTTATTTTCCAGGCCTAGATGGTACTACGCAAGGATTCACATCACACATTCTAATAAAAACAAAACATAATACTGTACTCACGCAAGCGCGCATGCACACACGCACACGCATATGCACGTACTGTACACATACACATGCACACACACATACACACACACAGTTTGACCTGGAATGGACCTTGGATCCTGGGAGAAGCTTTTGTATTTTTAATGGTCCTTCATTACTATAGGAAGGTCATTGCATGTTGCTGGATTGAACATCGCATTTGACGACGCAATTACAGGTGGTTAGTTTATCGGCAATGTATGTCAAAATCACAGTAGTATTACTGTTGAATTATGAATGATTTCTGAGGACAACAATTTCTATCTACCCTGGTGCTGTTTTAAAGGGGATTATCAACATTTAATCCATAATGGCATCTATGCACCACACCCTCCACCTTTTACAATATTAATCTGCTTTCATGTTTTTTTCTTGTCTATGTCCTTTTCCAATGATTGGATTTATGTAATATTGAGGCACGTAATCCTGAGAATATGATCATGTTGTGTGAATACAAAATACTGGTATATAAGTGGCTGTTTTTAAAAGCACCAGTTTTGATGTGTTTTGGTGGTTTAAAACCTGCGCTGACGTCATCGATGCTTTGATGCTGACCTGCAGTAGCCAAAATAATTTGCATTGATACAAGCCCAGTGGGCAAAACTGGTTATAAGGATTCCTCTACAAAAAGAAACTGTTTCAAACCAAAAAATGGCGTCATTATGACGTCCCATGCCAAATTCTGCCCACTGTGGTGATGCAGTATAATTTCTGCCCACTGTGGTGATGCAGCATACTTTCTGCCCACTGTGGTGATACAGCATACTTTCTGCCTACTGTGGTGATGCAGCATACTTTCTGCCCACTGTGGTGATACAGCATACTTTCTGCCTACTGTGGTGATACAGCATACTTTCTTCCCACTGTGGTGATGCAGTATACTTTCTGCCCACTGTGGTGATACAGCATACTTTCTATCCACTGTGGTGATGCAGCATACTTTCTTCCCACTGTGGTGATGCAGCATACTTTCTTCACACTGTGGTGATGCAGCATACTTTCTGCCCACTGTGGTGATGCAGCATACTTTCTGCCCACTGTGGTGATACAGCATACTTTCTGCCTACTGTGGTGATACAGCATACTTTCTTCCCACTGTGGTGATGCAGCATACTTTCTGCCCACTGTGGTGATACAGCATACGTTCTGCCCACTGTGGTGATACAGCATACTTTCTGCCTACTGTGGTGATACAGCATACTTTCTGCCCACTGTGGTGATACAGCATACTTTCTGCCCACTGTGGTGAGGCAGCATACTTTCTTGTTGTGAGAAAGAAACAGAAACAGATTAAAATCCCCAGTACACATACACAGACACAGGGTAGGTATGTGTTCCTCCAGGGGCTGGGTTAAGACAGAGGAGGAATAATCCTTCAGGCCTCACAGACTCTTTACACACCTAGCCCCGATGCTACACATTCATTTCTGATGTACCGATAGATAGTGGCACAAACACACACTCTAACTACTCAACACACACACACACACAACTAACCTTGTGGGGACACACAATTCAGTCCCATTCAAAATCCTATTTTCCCTAAATCTAACCCGTACCCTTACCCTAACCTTAACCCTAACCTTAACCAGAAAACCTAACCTTAACCCTAACCCTAAACCTAGTTCCTGACCCTAAAACTAACCTTAGCTCCTAACTGGAAACCTAATTCTAACCCTAACACTAATTCTAACCTTAACCCTCAACCCCCTAGAAATAACATTTGACCTAGTGGGGACTAACAAAATGTCCCCAGTTGGTCACATTTTTGTTTGTTTACTATTGGACTTCTGGTCCCCACAAGTATAGTTAAACATGTCCACACACACACGTGCGCACACACACACAAAGAAACCAAGCTGCAGCAGACATTTATTTTGGCTCCCCTCACCAACATTACCAATGAGGCTTTGGCATGAGAGGACTGAAATACTGGGATTGAGGTTTCTGAAATAGCACAGCAGTTGAGTCATTTATATAAGTCTTACTGTGTGCTCTGAGTACATTAGACAGAAACCAGGCTACCCTAAAAGTCATTGTTACATGTGTTTCCATCCCCATACATATTTAATGTACTTAATCAAGAGCAGAGGGAAAATGTCATCTGAGAGGCTATTCTAGTGGGAGTAATGGTTTGGTGAGACCACCATTTTGGTTTCTCATGGTTTCTGTAAAGCTCACTCAAGAGAGACCAGACCAGAAGTGAGGGAAGAGGGGGGATAGAGACAGAGAAGGAGAGAAAATACTTTCTAGCCACCCCG